TATTGGAGTGAAACAAAGTTTTATTTTTAAAGGGGTCCACATTTTACATATCATTCTCCAATTTGCTTGGCTCATTTGACAATATGACATGAGCACCTTTCCGGAAGAGTATATATTTATATATCCAGAAGAGAGATAAATTTATATATTTATATATCCAGAAGATATATATATATATATATATCTTTTTGGAGTATGTATTGATCCATAATAAGGATCTATTCTGATTTACTTAACTCTATTTACAAAGTTTTGGTATTGCAAACAGTGTTACAGTGACAATCATTACCTCCTAAGTAATTCTGCGATCCCATTTTACAGCAGTTGGAACTGAGGCCAAAAGGAAGTACGTCCTTTGTCTCCATGAAGGGATGGAACTGGAGTTCAAACCCAGGTCAGCCTGTTTCCTTTCCGCTGTACCATGCTCAATATAAATAAAACTTCAGAAGCACCAGGGTTCAGTCAAAGTCCAGAATGCTCAAAATACCTGGGCACTTGGCACGCATGCTTCTCTATGTGTGTGAGAGAGATGTGTCTCGTACAGGTTTTCCATAGCTTTTGAAAAAGGTCCCCCAGTGGGGACAGTGATGGATGGAGACTTGACTTGGGCTAGTGAACACACAATACGGTGTGCAGATGATGCGCTGTGGAATTGTGCACCTGGGACCTGCATGATTTTGTTAGCTAGTGTCACCCCAATAAATTAAATTAAAAGGAAATAATTAATTTATTGAAAAGAAAAAGGTCTCCCAATATATCATGCATTTTATTTTAACTCATAATGATTAAGCTGAGGCAGTAAATGTTACCATCCTATCAAGATTCTAATTTAAGGGGCTCATAACCAATCCTAGCTTCCTCTGACAAGTACTTTCACCCATTGAACAAAAGCCTCCTCAAAAAGGCTGAATTTACTCTATTTTAATTTGCAAATATACTCAAGGAGGAAACTTACACAAACCTGCTGGCTCTTAGCTTTCACTACAATGTTGAATTGAAGAAAACACTTCTTGTTTCATCACTACAGAGTTATTGCATGGTATTTTCTGTTTATTTTTCAAGATATTTAAAAGAGTCAGACATTATTATGTCCACATAATGTCCACATTAACCACAGATTAATTTGCTGTATTTCCCACCACTGAGGCACATTCTTATCTAAAACTGACCTTGTCATCCATGGAGCTACAGCTCTGCCTGGCATTACTGACATCTGAGTAAAGGAGCCCCCTACTGGTATGCTGAGGATGTGGTTTTTCCTTTGTGAGGAATTTCTGTTATTGCACATTTCAGGTGTATAAAAATACACTTAAAATAATGTAACAACCATTCATGTAGCCACCATCTAACTTCTGGAACTTGCTTTTTACTAGTTAGCATTCTATTTGAGATATTTATCCATATATATCAGGTAACCCCAATTTACTGAATTTTCAGTGATTTGTTTATATTTTCCTACAATGAACAATGCTGCTATGAATATCCTTATGTATGCATATTTTTATGTACACATATCCATACATATACTTACATGTCTGTGTGTGTATCCTTGTTTTGATAGTAAAAAAATTTTCCAACATATGTACCTTGTATGAAAGTTCTGGACCATAGGAAGGCATCTATTTATTTTTGCTAATTATTCCAAATTTGACTCCAACATGGCTGTGCTAATTTACCTTCCCACCAGAAATATGTGACCCCACAGTCTCACCAAAACTTTACATTTTAGACCGAGTATAAAATTATATGCCCATACATCATGAACATACAATTACCTGATTGATAGTGAGTTGTGTATATTTTTATTGACTATTTATTTGGGTTTTCCCTTCTATAATTATCCTGATCATATTTTTTATAAATTTTTCTCTTGGAGTAATTTATAGAAATTATTTATATATACTGGATACTAATTCTGTTGACATCTATATGTGTTATAAACACATTTACCTGAGTAAATTTCCAGCCAATATCCAATCTTCTTTTTTATAATTTTGGTACTTTAAATTTAGATATAGTTGAATTTTCAGTGTTTTATTTTTTGTGCATTCATACCTTGTTTAAATTTTTTTGCATACCTAAGTCATAGATATTCTGCTGTTTTACTCTCAAAGTTTGACAGTTTAAATTTTTAATTCATTTGGAATTGATTTTTGTAAAATGTAACATAGGAACACAATATTATTATTTCATATATATAGACATGGGTAGCACTACAGTTTAACAGGCCATAATTTATTGATATGCATTTATTGTTTTCATACATTAAGCTTCCAGAGACTCGTGGGCTGTTTGTAAGTTCTTTTTCTCAGTCCCGTTGATCTATGTGTCTGCCCTCACAGTGGTACCACACTGTCATCAGTAATGCTTTATGGTGAGTTCTGATAACTGTTAGGACAAGTTCTCACCTTGTTTTCCTTTAAAATTCTCTTAGTTGTTTTTAGTTCTTTTCTCCCCCATATAAATTTTGTAAGTTTGTGAAGGTGCACATAAAATTCTCTCACGCATTTGATGGAAACGACACTGAATGTATAAATTAATATTGGGAAAAACATATAAAGCTGATACAAGTTGGTCTTGATTGCAGATGGAAAACACATCTTCCCCTGCTTCTGGTGTTTCTTTCTTGCAAAGGGACTTCAATTTGTGTAATCTGGGCTCCCTCTTCCCATGTTGTCCCCTCAGTTCCCAGAAAGATGGAGTAAAGTAGCTGGCTGGCAAATCTGAGAACAACGTGTCATGCTCTGCTCTGTCCTTACCATCTTGGGACTAGCCAGCCTGCTGAAGCCCGTGTTCCCCTGCATTCCAGAGGCATTTACCCCAAAACGTGCAAGAGGCCTCCCCATGCACAGCCACCAAAACTGCATGAATAAGCCTGTCTAGTTACAGTGTTCACAGGGCAGCAAATAACTTCACTAACGAGGTCTTCCCCCAAGTGTCTAAATGTAACATTATGGTCTCCATGTAGATACTATCTTTATTCCTCAATTTGGTCAAATCCTGGGAAAAGAAGAGCATAGCTATTTCCCAGAAACTCCTTTGAACCCCCAGCAATCATTTCTTTCATACATGGACGGGTTTGATCCTAAATGTGCACTTTCAGCTGTTTGAATCCCCATCCACAAGTGACACTGGTTTCAATTTTCTTTCCTCAAATTGTACTTACTTTGTTGTCAAGTTTACGTTAGCTTCATGAAATGAGTTGGGAATATCTCTTTTGCCAGTTATGGAAAAAGATTGCATATTAGAATTAGTTGTGTCTATAAAATGTTTGGTGAAACTTTCCTATAACATAGTTGGGCCAAGTATTTGTGTGAGTAAGTTTTAAAATAACAAGTCAAATCACTTAATGGTTTAAAAATATTTAAATATTTTGCACACACACAGACACACTGACTGCTCTCTCTATGCTTTAGTCTGTTTTCTTTCTCAAAAAATAAATATTGGAAAACCCAGTAACATTTTTCAAATTATGTGCATGATATAAAGTATTTATGGTGCAACAAATACCAATGCCACCACTCCAGTATAATAAAGAAAAGGATTTTAGTATTGCTTTTTATTCTCCTGCGGTAAAGCACCAGGGAAAGGAATGAACTTTGTTCAATTATTTTTTCAAAAGAATGAACAATAAGGCAAAAAATGATGAATTGTTACTTCAAACAAGGATTTCAGCTCTATAAAGCATATTACAAACAAAATTAATAGAAGATAGAATGTGAGAAAGTCTTTCTCAAGTCAACAGCTAACAGGAAATTCAAATCTGGAATAAAGAATCTAAGACAAAGAACATCTAAAACACAACTTAAAACAAACATTGACAAAAAAAAATATGTGGGCAGGCAATTAACAGAAAAACAGAATCCCAAGATTCTTTAGAAGAAAATCAATTAGATGATGACCAAGTTCATTTGTAATTAAGGGGGGGATATATAAAAATTCGATATCACTGTACAATTATTTTCCTAGCCAAAAATAATTAGAAAAATGCTCAGATGAATTTAGGAGATGGGAACCCCCCCCCCACAATGTTTAATTGGGAGGAATTTATATGTGTATACATTATGGAAGCAGTCTGGGAAATCTTGGTTAAATTAAATGTGTGCATACCTTTGGAATCAAAAATTTTATCCCTTGGAATACACTGTAGGAGAAAATTTGAAACTGAGTTATTTGTGGTAGAGACAAGTCATAGGCAATCTGCTATCCATCACTAGAAAAGCACGTCAGTAGATGATGACGGTTGGACATCACAGAACATGATACTCAATATGTGGTCCAGGGACCAGCACCAGTCCTTGGACTTGGTTTCCACTCTATGATGAATAACTATGGAAAATGAGGTTGAACATTTAAAACTATTGTAGAATGTTGACAATGCCAACACCTTTTTGCCGCTTTGTACAAAATATTGGTCCACAACAGACAAGAAATGTTAAAAAGAAAGTGATCCTTTACCATAAATACTTTGATAAACACTTCGACAAAGGACTCCACTTGTCCACAAATCCTTGATTGCAGAAAAGAGTTACTAAAAAGGGAAAAGAGATGAAATGAGAATACAGAGATAAATTGGAAAAAGAGCATATAGAACTCAACAGGTGCGTTGAGGTTTCAGATATAATAATTAATACTTAGGCACATTGAGGTTTCCAATTAAAATATTGAGAGCTTAAAAGAAAGTATAATTAAATGAAAGTGTATTAGTATGTTTTATAATTCCCTAATCGATATTTTTATGAAATGCCAATCAATTTGCACCCTGAGGATACAACTAACTAGTCCATGGCAATTTCTCCCAACTGTAGACAAAATTATCTAGGTCAGGTGTCAAGGTTCAGCCAAGCCAATCGTGTCATAGAAAATATTCTCTGACCCCCACTATGAAACCAGACATTACGTTACTTCCAATTCCAGAACTGGTTAAAGGATCACAATGATCCTTTAGCTTTCTCTACTTCTCTTTTCTGTGTAACTTTTCAGCTGATACTTTGTTGGTCATGGAACAAAACAATGGCACTCAGGCAACTGAATTCGTTCTCCTGGGATTTGCTGGTCAGCACAAGTCTTGGCCTATCCTCTTCACAGCATTTCTGGCTATCTATGTGACCACCCTAGTGGGTAATATTGGGATGATCCTACTCATCAAGATCAATTCCTGCCTTCACACCCCTATGTACTTTTTCCTCCAACACTTGGCATTTGTCGATCTCTGCTACACCTCTGCTATCACTCCCAAGATGTTGCAAAACTTTATAGGAACAGAAAAGTTTATCTCATTCACAGGATGTATGGTGCAATTACTAGTCTACGGTACTTTTGCAACAAGCGACTGCTATATCCTTGCTGCAATGGCGGTGGACCGTTATGTGGCCATTTGCAACCCACTTCGCTACCCAATAGTCATGACCCAGAGAGTCTGCATTCACCTCTTAGCTGGCTCATACTTCATGGGTTTCCTAAATGGCTCTGTAAATACAAGTCTTACTTTCTCACTGAACTTTTGCAAATCCAATAAAATTAACCACTTTTTCTGTGATGAACCCCCAATTCTTGCCCTGTCATGTTCCAACATTGATTTGAACATCACGCTCCTAACGGTCTTTGTGGGGTTTAACTTGACGTTCACAGGGTTGGTTGTCATCTTGTCCTACCTATATATCCTGGCTGCCATCCTGAAGATGTCTTCTGCTGCAGGGAGAAGAAAAGCCTTCTCCACGTGTGCCTCCCACCTGACAGCCGTCACCATGTTCTACGGGACTCTCTCTTACATGTATCTGCACCATGGGACCGCCGAGTCTCAAGAGCAAGAAAAAATGGCTTCTGTGTTTTATGGCATCGTGATCCCCATGTTAAACCCCCTCATCTACAGCCTGAGAAACCAAGATGTGAAAGAAGCCTTGAAAGGGATCGGAAAGAAGTGCTTCTAGTTTGATCCTCAATTTCTAATTTGCTATGCTTGTAAACAACCAGACCGACAGTGTAATTTTTAAGAAATCAAAGCAAAAAAAGACAAACAACATGGAAAAGTTGCTAAGTTTTACTAATAATCAAGCTGCAAATTAAAGTCACAATGAGATCACCACTTTCTACCCATATGCCTGGCAAAAACTGCAAAAGGATGATAACACCTATTAATTGCTGCGATGTAAGGAAAATGGTGCTCTCATATATCGTTAATGGAAAATGGAGGTGTTACTTCACTTTCACTTAGAAGGAATCTGACAAAAAACAAAAACTATCTCTTCAAAACAAAAATAGCTTTCAATCCAGGATTTCAGCCTTGTAAATTGATCTACAAATAAAAGTTCCAATCCATAAGGACATATATTTAAGCATGCTTACTATAGCATTCTTAAGAAAAACAAGACCAAAAAACAATGAATATTCCTCAACAGAAAAATAAATCTGTATTGTTTTCAGTCTAAAATCTGTATCTATTGCTGCAGAACAAATTTCCACAAATTTAAGGGCTTCAAAAATACAGACAATTAGACTGAGGGTAGGAGGTGGAGGTGGGTGGGGCAGGGGAAAGTGGCAGTGGGAAAATGGAGGCAACTGTACTTGAACAACAATAAAAAAATAAAAACTTTAAAAACATATATACAATTATTATCTTACAGTTCTATGGGTCAGGAATCTATACACTGCTAAGCTGCACCCTCTGAGATGTTACAGTCAAGGTGTCAACCAGGACAGGAGCTCATCTGAAGGTCCGGCTGGGGATGGCCTTGTTTCCAAGCTCCCCAGTGTTATTGGGAGAGTTCATCCCCTTGCAGTTTTAGGACTGGGATTCCTGCCTTCTTCCTGACTGTCAGCGAGGGGCTGCTCCCAGCTTTTAGAGGAAATCCACAGTTCTTTACCACATGGCCCTCTCTGTATGCCCTTCATAACATGTAGCTTACTTGTTCAAAGCCAGAAAGCTATAAATACCTGATCATACATATACCACATGAACAACACCTTCCGTATGCCCAAATCTTACTAGAACTTCAAATGTCACTGTCTCCCTGAACTGTTTCCAGCTCAACACTTGTTTCCCACCAACTCTCTACCCCTGGAAGTAATTTCTTCTTCCACTGAAGACCCATAGCACTTCATTTGCATCAATAAATATTATTTATTATTTATCATTTCCTATCTAAATTATTTACTTACATAAAGGACCTTCACTATTACCCATAAAGCTCTTGAGATACATTGTTTTCTATGACCTTTTAACATCTGGTATAGAGCCTTAGACACAGTAAGTATTCTATAAATATTTAATGGATAAATGAATAATGACAAAAAAACAATAATATAGACAGTTCTCCAACTGCAAGATATGTGATTATGTAGTCTGAACTAGTGGTCTCTAAATACCAATCTGTGGACAGCAGCATTTGAATGACCAGGAAAAGGTTATTTTTTAAGTGAAAATAACTATAGCCCCATCCTAGAGATGTTGGTTCAGTGATATTAGATGGATCCTAGTATCTATAAATATCTGTATTTGCAGAATGTTGCTTTAATTGCATGTGCCACTAGAAAGTAGCATTTAAGAGCATAAGATTAAGAATCTTTTAGAATTTGGTTTATGTCCCAACCAACCCTGCCACTCACCAGCAGTGCTTCTTTGTAAGTAATCAAGCCTTCAAAACTTTTTTCTCATAACAATACATATCTCATGAGATTTTTTCATTTGTTTTTCAGTTGTAGATAGATAGATAAGACAATGAATAGAAATCACGGTACCTGGCACTAATAAGCTCTCACTAAATGCTAACAGTAATGATCACTCACAAGAATTATTTCAACATGGGTGTGATTAATATTATAAGAATGCCCTCCTGGATGGTATAGCTCAGTGGACGGAGCACTGGCTGCAAACCAAAGTGTCGTCAGTTTGATACCCACTCAGGGCACAAGCCTGGGTTGCAGGTCACATGCCCCAGCAGGGGGCACATGAGAGGCAACCACACACTGATATTTCTCCCCCTCTCTTTCTCCCTTCCTTCCCCTCTCTCTATAAATATTTAATAAAATCTTAAAAAAAAAAAAAGAAGGCCCTCATCACACATATGTGCATGCATGCACACATAAGGTCAGTAAGAAGTCTCCCAAAGTTTTCAACATGGAAACTTTCCTCTCTGGGAAGCTCTTCTCTTCTTTAGCAGAAAATTAACTAATAAATCTTGTTTTCTCTGATCCTGTCTCACCACAGGTACTCAAGGAAACAGTTACTGATCCCATAGACTTCAGCTATATACTGTTTTTTGTGGAGAAATCATTGGGAGGGCAATCAGTCTTCACTAGCCTGAGAAGAAAATCTAAAGACAAAACTCCTGTATATAAAGCAAATTGCATTTTTCCTATTCAGCTTAGCATTATTCCAGCATATGAAGACCACTGTAAAGTCCATAGAATTAGAACCAATATTCCAGCATAATTAACTACAGGGCTTGGTACAGTCATCTTATCTTCAGCAAAATAAAACTATAAATGAAGAGAGGGAATTATCAATGGCATGGATAAGTTATAAAATGGCCCAGGAGATGAGAGATGACATTATCAACCCTAGTGTTCTTGATTGAACATAAATAACCTTGACAGAATATAAGCAATTATTAGACAAGGCCACTCCATGACTGAGATGGAAGAACACAGAGCAAAGGCCACTCTGCGAGAATGTCTGAAACAAAACAGGGACAAAGACTCTTGACAACCAAAAAAAAGTTGATAAAATTAGTAAATACTCCTTCTTTACCCACTTCATTTTTCTCCCCTCTTAGGTACAAATTACCAAAATATCCAATCACTGAAGTCCCGATACCACTCAAAAAGAACTCACCTTCACTTCCTAAATCATTCTCAGAGTCACCCAGCACAAACCTAAGTCCTAGAAGAGGTCGTCCCAAGTCCCTCTTATCCAACACTCTGGTCCCTCCGGGGTGTGCTCTCCTGCACTGCAGCACGTGGACCAGCCTAACTTTGTTTGATTACATAGGTGCTCCTGGTCCTTGTCGGCTATGGAACATCAATGTGTAAATTGTGCCAAGGACATCTAGTACCTCTGAGGGACCTTACTTGGTTTTGTAATTCACTTTTTCATTGCAAAAAATTAATATGCACCCATTGTTTTTTTTCAATACAGCTATTTTTTAAATTAAAAAAGGTTTCTCTACCTTTTTTTGGAAGTAAAAACTATAGATTAACTCTGACTTATTTTAACATTACCCAATCTATATTTAAAATTTTGCTACAAAAACACAACATTGCATAGAATTCTCTGGGTTTAAGGTAAATTTTTCTCAACCTCATTTTATCAAAGTTAAAACTGAGGTTCAGGGAAGTTACATTTCTTGCCCAAGATCATATACCTATTAAATGGTAGTTCCAAGATTCAGATATAGATATAACTTCAAAGCCTGTCCATTTTTCATTACTGGTAATATAAAATAAAACTTCATAGTGCCTTGGAGATAGTATAATTTGGACAACTTCAAAACTCTTGCACAATTTATCCAATTAAAAATCTTTTCTAGAACTTCTACTTCTTGCCAAGATAGAGGAACCAGAATTGGACTTACCCTCCTGCCTGAAACAAGAAAAAATGGACAAAACATATGAAATACTAGTTTGCAAAACACTGTACATCAGATAGTAAAAGACAATGATTCCTGAGAGGTAAAAAATATAATTTTCCTAACTTTCTGTCTTAAGAAATTTCCAAACTGCCATGCAGGGAGACAGAGAGCATTCAAGAAGAGTTTAGTAGAATTTCTAAAAGAAATGGAGATGAAAATCTGGAGGGACCAAAGCAGCTAGAATTTTCAAGAAAATTTTGAAGTAAGAAAATTGTACAGAGAGAAAACCTCAAGAACTGCAGAGGATCCCCTCAATTATTTAGCTAAATACTGATCTGTACACATACACAAAGAAGCTAGGAAAGAAAATACTGAAAATGTTATGAACAACAATGTTTAATGCTCACATAAGGCTGAGAATAGTGTTTGTTCTCAACAGCCAGACTGAAAAACCTCAGCATTCATAATGCATTGGGTAGTATACACAGAAAACACTTGTCTCAGTAGGATCAGTTTCCAAACAACTTCACTGTGTTCCAGAACAAGACTCAAGGGTATTTATAAGAAAACAAAAATATCTAGCACCAAACATGGTAACATCCACAACACCTAGCTTCCCACCAGAATCACCACACCTGCAAAAAGCAGGAAAGCATGACCGCAATGTGAAGAAAAATCAAAGGTCAAAACCAACCAAGAACTGCCAAAGATTTCATAAATAGCTATCAAAAACATTCAAAAATTAGCATAACTATGCTCCATATGTTCCAAAAAAATAAGTGGAGTTGTGAAAGCTTAGACAACTACAGTATCTGATGGTAAAAAAAAAAAGAAAAAAAATTGCACTCAGCGAGATTAACCACAGATTAGACATTCTGAAAGAAGTGATTAGTGACCTTGAAGACACAGCAATATAAACTGTCCAGAACAAGACAAAGGTGAATCAAAAAGATAATTGAACAACACATCAGTGAGCTATAGAGCAACTTCAAGAAGCCTTCCTTGCATATGTGTAATTGGAGTCCCTGAGAAACAGGAGAAACAGGATTGATATAAATTTTTTTTTAAAATAATGCTGAAAATTGTATACATCTGGTGAAACTATAAATCCACAAGAAACTACAAGCCAAAAAAAAAAAGCAGGCAAAAACTACACCAAAATACATCATAATCAAATTGCTCAAAACAGGAATAAAGGGAAAATCTTCAGTGTATCCAGAAGAAAAAGACACATTGTGAATAGCAGAAGAAAAGTAAGAATATAAATATATTTATTGTCAGAAGCAATGGGAATGAAGAGACAATGGACTATGACCTTAAAGTGCTTTAAAAAATAATGCTTCTTTAATAGACCAAATAAT